GATATAAAGGAGTCAATCACTAGCCTCCCAGATCCTGTCTAGACGATGCCCCAGCCTTTCAGTGAAAGCGTGGTGCTCATGGTTCCGGTCTCTGAGGAATGAATAGTAGGCTCTGCAACTAATTTCTGAACTCTTTTAAAGGCCTTGCATTGGAAAAACCCTAATGGTATCTATTTCAGAATCACAGCAGGAACAGGCTGGGTGTGCCATTCCAGAATGCTGCTTCTTGCCTTTATGTCTTTATTGACTGTCACCAATAAAACAAGCAAGGATGAACCAGATGCAAATGGGTGCAGGACATCTCCGTCTCATTCTTTTTTCGTGATTCGTATAAGTGTTAACCCAAACGTGTCTCACAACCACTTGCGTACATGCCTGCTTGGCACGTAGCTTACAGTTCATTAGCAAATCTCCCATAAGAATTCTCTTCATTTTCAACTGTTGTTCCCAATAGTTTGCCCATAGGTAAAGCTTGGAAGGGCAAAGTCAAAATGATAGCAACACAAGTGTTACCTTAATACTGCTTACATGAGATTTTTTAAAAACATATAACTCTCAAGGGCTTAGCAGATCTTAGGTGCAAGGATGTTCTTTTCAAAGTGTCACTTTGCCAGAAGGAAGGAAGGCACCTTCCATCAATAGAAATAGCAAAAGCATTCCTCAAATTGTATTTATCTCTCTAAATTCTGAAAGCATATTAAGGAAGAATAACAATATTCCACTTTGGTTACAAATTGCTAATTAAGAACTACAATTCTCCCAGAGGTAAAATATTAACATTTTTAAAATGAAATTAAACATCACAATCTTCTTCTAATTGTTATAAAAATATTTAGCAGCAATATCTGTTTAATTATTTAGGCATTTGTTAGTGGTGTAAATATTATCAGCATAGGCATAAATATTTTCTTCTTTGTCCACAGACAATCAGCTAAGGATATGTTGCTTGTCGAGCTTCAATTAAGGTCTATTTAAGGCTGCCTGCTGGCCACAAAATAATTACTTACACTTTCTGATGCCTGAATCTGTTAGATATAACAGGAAGAAGGGTTCTTTGTTTTTGTAAGTCGGGAAAGGTTGCTTTTTCTTATATAAATTTCATTGTTGTTGTTATTAAAGAGGATTAGGGTGGGGTTGAAGTAGTTGAAAATCTAATTAAACTAATCCCTTTAACAGAAATTGTTTTCATATTGATAATTCTCTGTAACAACAGTATTACAGATCACACCCACGCGAAATATTTACACTAAATATTTCAGCCTGTAATCTCTCCTCCAGCTTTTTCTTTGGGGAATGATAAGATTTATGGCTTCTTCACCTTTCTTCTTCTTTTTTTCTCTCTCTTACCTAAAGTGCAGGGAACCAAAATGAAATCTTTTGTTTTCTTCCTGCTTCCTCTGTTAATTTTCTCTCAATGTCATCATATCTCAGTAAGTTATGTTAATAGCCATCAAATCACTAATCTCCTAAAAGAGCATGAGTGCTATGAAATAGAACAATCCAATTGATTTTTCCCCCTTTGGTATCTACAGTCATTTCGTGTAGATTCTTATTTGAAATGATTTGTTTACCCATTGATTTCAATAAATTGTTATGCTGCTGAAAATATCACTAAGAGTAGAGTCAAATGAAGGACGAAACTGTCATTCTGCTCAACTTCATCTGATCATCTCCAGTATAAATTGGGAAGTGCTCTCAATCAGCTCAAATGTCATGTTATCAGGGAGACCTTCCCTGACTTCCCAAAATAAATTTACAATCCCTGTTCCTCCCCGAATACCACAGCCTCCTTTAGCTGGCTTTGCTTTCTCCATACACGTCATCACCGTGTAACATTATAACACATTATGTCTGTTTGTTTAGTGCATCTCCCCCAACTAGGATGGAAGTGCCACAGGAAGCAAGGACTTGGATTTCTCTACTGCTGTACTTTGAGAGCCAAGCTGAGTGACTTAAACATGGCAATCAAATAATTGTTGCATGTATGAATCTTTACTCTCATTTTTTTAGGTGCCTAAAGCACCAGATCTGTGCAAAGCAATGAATAATTTGATATAAATGTAGACATTTGCCCTGAGCTGGCTGATCTACTGAGCCTCAAGGGAAGGATGCCCACTGAGAAGAGACCTAGTGCTTTCTGTAGCCTTCATTAAAGGACTAAAACTGCAGTGCTGTTTCACCTCCACGTGCTTACAATATCAAGAGTGATACAAAGCAGAGAATCTCTAAGGATGCCCTCCAGGACATGATTTCTGTAGAATATGAACAGGAGTTACTAAACCACACAGAGACTCCATGGTCACATAAGTCTGTGAAACTAGGTGTTACATGAAGCTAAACAGGATTCTTAATTTCAAGATATCTCAGATTATGAAAATGTTCATTAGGACTCTCCAAGACAAGAAGATTAGGCTGTGCTTCCCAAACTCATTTGATCTTAGACATTTCCTTTCTACCAGCCGATCCTGCTTTACGACAGGGCTACAACAGAGGGAACTCCAATGACTTGGGAATTCAACAAGCCAGGGAAGGGGTAAGAGGCACCAGCCTCCTCTCTCCCTCTTACTGACTTTATTAGGTGACCTTGGGCAAATTACTTAACACCTCTATGCCTCAATTTTCTCTTCTCTAGGTAGAGATGGAAAGGATTACCCAGGAAAATGTATGTAGTGTCCAGCACACAAGTGCTAACTAAATGGTGGTTATTGGCATACCTTTTATTGAGTATAGGCATAGAGCCTTTTACATAGATTTCTTCAAGCATATTTTATAAGATACATTTGTTAGTATTGACCAATTTCCAGAAGCAGCCTAATATGTCGTCTCCTGTGGTCCCAGTGCCGTATCCCTATCTGAGAATCCCTGCACACCTATGCTGAAAGTAAACAAATGTTATCTTTCAACACGACTTACTACAAACGTCTGATAACTCACTTTGGTGGATCCCGCAGAAAGAAACAAGGCTCTTCCCCCTTGTTTCCATACCTCTGACCTCAGATAAAGACACTTTTGTCAGGAGGAAGATGGTAGCATCCAAGTTCATGATTGCACAGATGGCTACATGCTGACAGATTTTGAAGTGACCATATTTTTTCAGTAAATTTCAAATGAAGGTGTGATTTGTGTAAATCTGACCTCTTCCTGTAAAATGTGCATTTACATATATTTAGAATTTATAAATCCTGACAGATTCCACAATATTTATAGCCCTCCATAAAAAGCCTTTGCAGTTTGCAGAGCTTTGCATTTGGCTCTCTGGCATGCTTAAGAGAGTTTAAATAATAATAAATTTGGTGATTTATTCCACCTGGAACAGAAACTTATTTCCCCCCTCCCTTGGCTCATTTCGAAGGGGATACTATAAATAGGACCACAGACGCTGGGATCAGGACTAGGGAATTGAAATTCGAGAGAGAAGTACAGAAACATTTTCATTATCACTGATTCCTTGAGTGTATTTTTAAAACAGTTCTGTTCCTCAAATAATGTACCATCTCTCCTTTCTCCTGTCCTATCACAATTATACTTGAGTCTCCAAAACCTGTTGCCAACTTCAGGATTCAGTTACATTAACGGGAAAGAGAGAGTAAGAGTATTAGCTGACTAGGTAGGAGGAAGTTGCCTCTAGGGAGACCAAAGCAATTCTCCCATGTTCATCTTCTATTTCATAGGAGTCAGCCAGCAACTGAGTGTCGGTGTCTAGAGGGTAAATTCATTGTCTGAGATCTAGCTCTTGTATTCTACAGGTATGATGGAAAGCTCACAGTTCATGACAAAACAAAAAACAAACAAACGAAAACCAAGAAACCTAATTATAATTGCAAGAGGAAGCCTAGGACAGTGTGAGGATCAATTCTTTTCACCCAGCCATGGTCATAATAACTGGCTACAGAATAAGAGAGAAACACCTGAATAATGGAGTGTAAATGGTACTATCTGTTTTCTTAAAAATGAAATCAACAAAAGTCTGGTAACTTGTCATTTGCCATAGAATCTACCGAGCAACCATTTAGTGTAGCATAAGCAGTGTTGTAACTTGCTGTAATATAACTAGGAGATTTCTTTGTAGCTTCTTGTCTGAATGGCTGTGAAGGAAGCAGCGTTCGTTAAAGGGAGAATAGTGAGAACTAACATCCATGAAGAACTGCCTATGGGCTGGCCCAGAGTAACAAACGCATCAAGTGGCTGTGGTTTGATGTGCAACAGCCTCCTAATTGAGTAGCAGGTTTTCTTGTCCAGATAACTTGGAGCACACTCCCAGCCCCAAGACTTTGCTGAGCAATCCTTTTATCTTTACCTAACAAGATGGCAGATATTTGGACCAAGCCCCAGAGCCTTTAGGGTACCACATTTTAATAATTTGTGGTGAGCAAAGTAAATGTTTTAAAACCAGACATTGTGAATCAAGGACCCAGTTAAGTGTGATGGATTTCAAGGAAAGCCAAAAAAAAAAAAAAAAAAAAAAATGCTGAATGTTGTATGGGAGTATTGTCTCCCCCACGGAACACAGGTATCTATGGTTCACGGCTGATTCTAAAGCTTTGCTTGAAAAGTGACTTTTTAAAGAAGCGTACTCTTAAGGATTGTCCTTCAGGCAGGGAGGAATTTCCCTTGCTTTTCTATAGCATCTTTCTAAGAGGAAGCGGAGGTATTAGAGCTGTTAGACAGTTGCTCAGTATCTTCGTGCTTCTGTGACCACATTATGGGTCTAACACATATGGAATAAATAAACTTGTTTTCATTTCTTAAAGCACATGGAAGGAAACAAGACAAGAAAATTACCATATTGCTTTTTTTAAGCTATTAAAGAGGAGAATCCAGTGAGGGTAAATAAAAATGATTACTGAAAACAGATTTTGTTTTTTGGTTTTTTTCTTTTTGTTCTTTTTTTTTTTTTTTTTTTTTTTTCCTTTTCTAGCCTCTTACTGAGCAACAGCGATATGGCAAGACTTGCGGGAAACCAGTGTTTTGATGTACCCTCTTTTGTTCTTCTTCCATAGGGCAATCCCTACATGTGCAATAATGAGTGCGATGCGAGTACCCCTGAGCTGGCACACCCCCCTGAGCTGATGTTTGATTTTGAAGGAAGACATCCCTCCACATTTTGGCAGTCTGCCACTTGGAAGGAGTATCCCAAGCCTCTCCAGGTTAACATCACTCTGTCTTGGAGCAAAACCATTGAGCTAACAGACAACATAGTTATTACCTTTGAATCGGGGCGTCCAGACCAAATGATCCTGGAGAAGTCTCTCGATTATGGACGAACATGGCAGCCCTATCAGTATTATGCCACAGACTGCTTAGATGCTTTTCACATGGATCCTAAATCCGTGAAGGATTTATCACAGCATACGGTCTTAGAAATCATTTGCACAGAAGAGTACTCAACAGGGTATACAACAAATAGCAAAATAATCCACTTTGAAATCAAAGACAGGTTTGCGTTTTTTGCTGGACCTCGCCTACGCAATATGGCTTCCCTCTACGGACAGCTGGATACAACCAAGAAACTCAGAGATTTCTTTACAGTCACAGACCTGAGGATAAGGCTGCTAAGACCAGCCGTTGGGGAAATATTTGTAGATGAGCTACACTTGGCACGCTACTTTTACGCGATCTCAGACATAAAGGTGCGAGGAAGGTAAGAGAAACCCTGTCTGCCTTCAATGGGAACGGGTGTGTCCAAAGAAAATGCCAGAATATCAGTCTCACAGCTCTAAAGTAACATTTGTCGATTTCTACTGCCACATTTTCTTTAGGAACACCAGTGTAGAAGTAGGTTCTGAAGTTCTGAGACCCTTCATCCTCAGCAGTAATTTGTAATCCCAAACTTGCTGCCACTGAACATGACATGATTCTTCAGAATTTAAATAAAAGTGAATTTTAAAAAGTAACTCCCTAGGTTGGGAGGCCCTTCAGGTCTTTAAGGCAACGAAGCCAGGGAAAGCAAAGCCATTTGCCCTATAAGGAACTGAAAACTAGAAATACAGTATCATGGTTTACAAATGCAAAACAGGGATTCAACAGGGTACACCAACCAATTTATGTTTGGTTATATTGCACAAACAATCTGGAAATTCGAGTTTTATTTCTTTAAATTTATTAAGCCAGAATCAAAAGCATCTCGGAAACATTTGTTAAGTTGGGACAAGCTCTACTTTTCAGGATTTTAGATGTTATTATGTCAGAAAGATATACTAGCATTTAAAATATAGACCTGAGTTGGGCTCCCTTCATCTTGTAGATCAATCACAAATGGACCAGTTTAAACACATTAATTAAACACAGTCAGGGATAGCTTTGGTTTTGATAATATGTCAGAGACAGAATTGAGCAAGTTTCTGAGAGTTTTAAAGATGTTTAAATGAAAAACTTCAGTAATGAGAACCAGAACCACCGCATAGAGATTTTCAACCAGCTTTTTAAGTGTGGTGTATTATCAAAATGACCACCTGAGGGGAATGGAGGCATGAGACAGTGAGTGGAAAGACTAAAGGTAAGAGCGGAGTATCTAGCAAATGGAAGCAAAGGGAAACTCAAGGAAAGAAATAAATGCCAGTTAAAAAAAAGCCAAGATATCTTTAAATTGAAATATATGAAAATAAGAATATAAATAGTAGATGTCATGTAGGTTTAATTATTGAATAATAAAATTCAAACAGATAAGGAAGGATTGATTCAATTTATTGGCTTTAAGCATCTTTTAGGCAGCCCAGTTCTCAGAAACTGGACAAGTGTTGGGACTTTCTGGTCTGTCAGAGATTTGTCTTACGTATGTGTGCTGGAAGAAGGAAGAGGTCACTGCTGTGAAGATAAAGGCCATAGTGGGAACACAGCATGGAACGGTGGACTTGGCTGTAGCGTGGTGTCAAATGTTTCAGAGTCTTAGCTGTGGAAAAGTAGCAGAAACTGGTGGCCGTCTACTCTCAGTTTTTTCTAGCTTCATGTTACTCATGGAAGAATCAAGAGCCTTTATCTGTGAAGCTTCTCTTAAAACTTTTTAACAAGCTCTTGGTGGTATATAATGAATATATCTTTAAAGCAGAATAATATTGAACTTGTGAGTTCTAAGGTGTAGAGGATAGTTCATGTATTATTAGCAGGGTACATGACAGGGCAATATGGAGCTGTTGTCTTAAACATGAATTTGTTATTTATAATAATACACAGCCATTATACTCAGGAATATTTTAGCAAAAGACTATGTATCTCCAGGATCTTATTCTTGGGGACGTATGATATGTGAAAATAGTTGAAATTGATATTATTAACAATAGCTTGACACCGTGGAATGACAAATATTCAGTTCATCTACATGAACAATGGTAAATAATTCATAAACTAAGATTTGAATTTTAATCCTGATGTAATCCACATCACTCCGTAGAGTCATCTAGGTCAATTTCCTTATAGTGTAAGAAATCCTTAACTGAGCCCAAATTCCTATATCTCCACTTCCCCAAACACTCTTATTTGCCACTTGTAAAAAAAGCAATCTTCTTTTTTTTTTTCCCCATTTATTTATTTTATTGCATTTTAGGTTTGGGGGTACATGTGAAGAACATGCAAAATTGTTGCATAGGTACACACGTGGCAGTGTGATTTGCTGCCTTCCTCCCCATCACCTACATCTGGCATCTCTCCCCTTGCTATCTCTCCCCAGCTCCCCACCCCCCACCATCCCTCCCCTATTTCCCCCCAACTGACCCCAGTGTGTAGTGCTCCCCTCCCTGTGTCCATGTGTTCTCATTATTCAACACCCCCCTATGAGTGAGAACATGCGGTGTTTGATCTTCTGCTCTTCTGTCAGTTTGCTGAGAATGATGGTTTCCAGGTTCATCCATGTCCCTGCAAAGGACACAAACTCATCGTTTTTGATGGCTGCATAATATTCCATGGTGTATATGTGCCACATTTTCCCTATCCAGTCTATCGTCGATGGGCATTTGGGTTGGTTCCAGGTCTTTGCTATTGTAAACAGTGCTGCAATGAACATTCGTGTACACGTGTCCTTATAGTAGAACGATTTGTAATCCTTTGGATATATACCCAGTAATGGGATTGCTGGGTCAAATGGAATTTCTATTTCTAGGTCCTTGAGGAATCGCCACACTGCCTTCCACAATGGTTGAACTAATTTACACTTCCACCAACAGTTCAAAAGTGTTCCTATTTTCTCCACATCCTCTCCAGCATCTGTTGTCTCGAGATTTTTTAATGACCGCCATTCTAACTGGCATGAGATGGTATCTCAATGTAGTTTTGATTTGCATTTCTCTGATGACCAGTGATGATGAGCATTTTTTCATATGTTTGTTGGCCTCATGTATGTCTTCTTTTGTAAAATGTCTGTTCATATCCTTTGCCCACTTTTGAATGGGCTTCTTAGTTTTTTTCTTGTAAATCTGTTTTAGTTCTTTGTAAATTCTGGATATCAGCCCTTCGTCAGATGGGTAAACTGCAAAAATTTTTTCCCATTCTGTTGGTTGCCAATTCACTCTAATGACTGTTTCTTTTGCCGTGCAGAAGCTGTGGAGTTTGATTAGGTCCCATTTGTCTATTTTGGCTTTTGTTGTCAATGCTTTTGGTGTTTTGGTCATGAAGTCCTTGCCTACACCTATGTCCTGATTTTCTTCTAGGGTTTTTATGGTGTTAGGTCTTATGTTTAAGTCTTTAATCCATTTGGAGTTAATTTTAGTGTAAGGTGTCAGGAAGAGGTCCAGTTTCTGCTTTCTGCACATGGCTAGCCAGCTTTCCCAACACCATTTATTGAACAGGGAATCCTTTCCCCATTGCTTGTTTTTGTCTGGTTTGTCAAAGATCAGATGGTTGTAGATGTGTGGTGTTGCCTCCGAGACCTCTGTTCTGTTCCATTGGTCTATATCTCTGTTTTGGTACCAGTACCATGCTGTTTTGATTACTGTAGCCTTGTAGTATAGTTTGAAGTCCGGTAGTGTGATGCCTCCCGCTTTGTTCTTTTTGCTTAGAATTGACTTGGCTATGCGGGCTCTCTTTTGGTTCCATATGAAGTTTAAGGTGGTTTTTTCCAGTTCTGTGCAGAAGGTCATTGGTAGCTTGATGGGGATAGCGTTGAATCTGTAAATTACTTTGGGCAGTATGGCCATTTTCACGATATTTATTCTTCCTAACCATGAACATGGAATGTTTCTCCATCTGTTTGTGTCCTCTCTTATTTCGTTGAGCAGTGGCTTGTAGTTCTCCTTGAAGAGGTCCTTTACGTTCCTTGTTAGTTGTATTCCTAGGTATTTTATTCCCTTTGTGGCAATTGTGAATGGAAGTTTGTTCTTGATTTGGCTCTCTTTAAGTCTGTTATTGGTGTATAGGAATGCATGTGATTTTTGCACATTGATTTTGTATCCTGAGACTTCGCTGAACTTGCTTATCAGTTTCAGGAGATTTGGGGCTGAGACGATGGGGTCTTCTAGATATACAATCATGTCGTCTGCAAATTGAGACAATTTGACTTCCTCCTTTCCTATTTGAATGCCCTTTCTTTCTTTTTCTTGCCTGATTGCTCTGGCTAGAACTTCTAATACTATATTGAATAGCAGTGGTGAGAGAAGGCATCCTTGTCTGGTGCCACATTTCAAGGGGAATGCTTCCAGTTTTTGCACATTCAGTATGATATTGGCTGTTGGTTTGTCATAAATAGCTTTTATTATTTTGAGATACGTTCCATCAATACCTAGCTTATTGAGGGTTTTTAGCATAAAGGGCTGTTGAATTTTGTCAAAGGCCTTCTCTGCATCAATTGAGATAATCATGTGGTTTTTGCCTTTGGTTCTGTTTATGTGGTGAATTACGTTTATAGACTTGCGTATGTTGAACCAGACTTGCATCCCCGGGATGAAGCCTACTTGATCATGGTGGATAAGCTTTTTGATATGCTGTTTCAATTGGCTCGTCAGTATTTTATTGAAGATTTTTGCATCTATGTTCATCATGGATATTGGCCTGAAGTTTTCTTTTCTTTTTGAGTCTCTGCCGGGTTTTGGAATCAGGATGATGTTGGTCTCATAAAATGATTTGGGAAGAATTCCCTCTAAAAAAGGTGATCTTCTGAAGCATTTTGGTTGGGAAAAAACCATTGCCGGTGCTTATTTTCGTTATTAGCAATCATTTTGTTTCCTCTAATAACTTAAAGGAAAGCGTAAAATAAACTTGAAAGCTACAGGCACTTTTATGCATTCTCCACTGCTGTCAAACATGCCATCTCCTGAAGGTGATGTGTTGGAAATGTAGATCCCTTCAGATCTGTCACATTTCTTCCATCTCCCAACCTAGTCATGTCCTCCAACTGCATTTCAGTGGTTCTGAGGAGTTTGGAGGACTCCCCCTTCTTCTCTGGACTCAGTTCCACTGTCTTTTCCTGTTCACCAGTCAACTGTAAGCTGAAGAGAAGCAGCTGGGCAAACAAGAAAGGTCCAGTAGAGGTGAGCCCCTTCCGTAAGGTCTTCTTCTGTCACCTCCAGACTTTGTCCAAATCCTCAGGGTGGAACTGATGCTGGCATGTACTGCACTAGGCACCAGATGGCTGGAGTATTTTTAGTCTTAGGGGAGGGACTAAAGAAGCAAGGTCTGATGGCTCGGGCGTGTCTCCAGCTTTTAAGTTATATAAAG